ATAGTGTAGAAGCTAAAAGTAATTTGTTACATGTGATTTTGTGTGTTTAAGGGAGCTGTTCAATTGAATGTGGGCGTCTTAAATATGGAAGTGTTTACTGAGTTTCAAGGGTAAATTTTAGTTGCTTAGAAAGGATTTAATTTTGGAGTTATGTTGATATAACTGCTTATTGGGTTACATTTTCTTGAACTTTTTTCTTGTTTGTATACTTGTTTTTTTTACGTGTTTTGGCCTTGACAACTTTCAAAATAAAATAGAGAAAAGAAAGAATTGATTCTTGGGTCATTGAGTTGAGTCCAGTCCTAAATCTTCTGAAGCAAACGACCCTTTCACGTCAGGGGAAACTGCAGATTAAAACCCAAAAAAAGTGAAAACCACTTGACAGATGTGTTAAATAATGTATAACTGTATGACTCTGTGTGCGAGTCAGAAATTGTGAGTTTTCAGTCACAATTTAAGTTTAAAAAAGGATGGCATTTCAAAATGGGAAAAAAAAAGTAGGAACCCTGTTTTTATTTGTCAACTAAGGAGTATTTAAGAGTTTGTATATTAGAGATGTTTAGCATCACACATTGATTTGAGACCCCTAAGGCCCATGTTTGCCCTTGAGTCATTGCACTCACCAGTTTTCTGCTTGATGTCTTCATACGTACAAGAACCTTGTTTCTATTGATTAACACACGGCAGCGTTATTGGTGCCAACTCCCCTTCGTGCGGCTTCAGGCTTGTATAACAGTGTTTTAAATGACTCATGGTGTTCCATGTGCCTCTGTAATCACACTGAAAGTCCTACAGGATCTCTCCACCCTTGGCTGCAGCTGCAGAAACAGCTCCTGGAAATGATTCTCCTTGTATTCATGGCAGATCAGTCCCAGTCACTGACCTGAGTAATGGCAATGCTCAGTACTGTATTGTCCTCTATCGTGTTGCCGTGGTGACAGGAGAAGAGGGTATCGACATGCCAAAGAAAAGCCTCTGCACTAAGTTGAAGAGTCACAGCATCTCTGACCTTTCTGTCTGTGCAGCTCACTGCAGAGCCATTCCAAGACTCGGAGATGGAGAAATGTGTTCTCAAAGACGTACCGGTGGTGAAAGAGGCAGTTTCTTTTCATGTTTTTCTTGAATATAATACACAGTGTCCCTTAAACTGATTTTCTCAGCTAGCTTTAAAATATAGCAGGTCCCCCCCCCACCCCCCCTTTTTTTTTTTTAGCTCTGAAGTATTCTTTGCTTCTGGGATCAAATCCAAATTATTTTTGCTGCCGTTCAAGCCTTCTATCTCTCTGCTGCAGTCCAAACCTACATCCCTGTACCTTAACTTTTCTTCTTCCATATTCATAACTTTGCTTCCAGCCCTGCTGCTTGTTGTAATATAATTCTCCTCAGAATACACAATTGTAGAGTGACCTGCATTCTCCAGAGTGTCTATAGTCCTTGTGTTTCTTCTGACCCGACCTGCACTGAAAACTTAAGAAACCTCTCACGTATAGAAGCTGTTCAGCTTCCCATGATGCAGCTCTGCCTGCACGGGTTGTTGCTTCTGACGAAAAACTTTTTTTTTTTTAAGCAGATAAGTATTTTAAAGTTGGGATTAAAATGATTGTAGTTAATATGAAACTACTTTCAACTCGACACTCCGAATATAGCATCTTGTGTTTTTGTTCATATCTGTGTGAGAATTGTTTTCTGATTGTTCTACTGATTCAGCTATAGATGAGTACATGACCGCACACAAAGAAAGGCAGATGTTCTTGTCTCCGTTAGCCGCGAGCTGTGGACAAAACATTTACAGTTCCTTTAGGCCTGATTCTGATTGGATTGTGCTGAATGCAGGTTTGAAGTCCCTCGATGCCTGTGCATGTTTGGTAGTCTGAACGTAATTCATTCTGAGCCAAGACCTCCTGCTTAACTGACATGACACCACACAAGCAGAGGGGGAAGTATCAGGGTAAAAATAAATAACTCAAAAATAGGATAATTTAAAGGTTGATCAAAGATAAATAGTCATCCTTGGTAATATTTAGTCATTTTCTCTGCTTGCTCTCGACGAGGATGGATGCTTTTCCCTCCTGCTCCTGCCCTCTCTCCTCTGCTTTGCTCTTTGTCTTATGATTCATATCAGAACCTCTCACTACACATCCGCTGAATTGTATATTATGGATCTGGTCTCTCAGCACAATTGATACAAATTTCTCAATGAGAAGACAGAGCGAAGGAGAGCCCTCATGCCCTGAAAGGACCCCCCATCTCTCCCCTCCTGAGGACATCTGTAGATCTGTGTCAGAGTTGAGCCGGCTGATAGACACTGCCATCTTATCAGGACTATGGAACTGTCTGGCAGTCCACAGAAAACTCACTGCCCTCGTCGGCCTCCTTGACCTACTCATGCATAAATGAATTATGACGTCATTATGTCTGCTGTTTATGTGTAGAATGTGGATTACAGGACGTTGTATGAGTGCGTTTAAAGTTTGTTCTGATTGTTTTAAGACCCGCTGGGATCACTGTATGCTGTAACGTGCTGTCAGAGGTCTGAGCAGCATTATGTCACGTTATATTCACCCCGTTAAACTCCGTTCACAGCTCACACTCACATTTTAAATTGTCTACATTTAATAGACTGCAGGTGTGATTGTTCTGGTGTTTTGTAGACATTTAATCCACACTTTGGTAAATCAAGATTTCCATACTGCTCTGGGAGTGTTTGACCTGTTTTATTTGAATTATAGCAATTTGTTTTAAAAGCATTTTTTGTTATTTATTTTTGTAATTGTGAGAATCTAACCATCAAGATGCCTTCATATTAACTTTAATTGTTTTTTATATATATAAAAAGAGGTAATTCAGTTAAAAAGGCAGTTGCATTCAAAACTGTATCAATAAGACTAAATTAGCTCAACCCTATGTGACAAAACAATACTATTCCTAAAGTAAATGTGATTCCTGCTCTCGTACTTATCAAGTATTTGAGCACAATATCTCTAGTTCTTTCCTCATTCCTTTTTATCTCATTATTTGTCATTTTTATTCTTATAGTGTAAAAATGCCCTCCCCTACCTCATAAACAAAAAAGCAAAACATTTGCATCCAAGCCTTGTACTCCGAAACCCTGCTGGCTTTAGTCAAGAAAGCCTCCTTTTATCTTTTTTCTCTGCAGTGTTTCTCAGAGAAAAACAGACTCTCTTTTTTCTATCTTTCTGTCTCAACATCCCTGGGTTTAATGTGTAATCCCTCCTTCAGAGGCAGAGCGGATGCACGGATTCCACCGGGGCTGTGGCAGCTGCAACTTCCTCTTTCTGCACATTAGACTCACAAATCGACCGTCGAACAGTCTCAAAGGCCTTGTGTGGAAGGCAGGAACACAGAACGAAGGAAACAGTTGAATTTTCAGAAACACGCAGTGAAGTCCTGAAAAACAAGGACCTGAGACATATCTACATATATATATATATATTATGACTTCAAGATGTTTAAGGTATTTTTAAGGTACAGTTTTATATAAAAAAAAGGTTCAATACATTTTCAAAAAAGACACTTTTTAACAGCAGTGTTCTAGTAATTAAAGTATCTCTAGTAACATAAACATGAGCATCATAACAAATATAAAACCAATGCTATTTGCCAGGACAATAATGTTTTTAGTTTATTTTAGAGAGATAAAAAAAAAAGATACATCCAAAACCACAATCATAACAGATTAACAACTAATTTAAAAAGATGCATGTTTTTTTTCTGAAACGTTACGAGAAGAAACGTTTTTAAATCGGGGAGCATCGTGAACATTTCATGTCCTGATGCTGCTCAATAATCCAGGTAGAAAAATCGTCAGGTCATCTGGACGGATTCTTCTTTGTTCAAATGTTTTGTCTTTTATCCCAAAGACTTCTTCAGTCTGAGACCCTGCAAGAAACTCACTCCCACACGCTGCAGAAGCCTCCCTGTATTGTTTGTTATGGTGGATGATTAGCTATAGCATCTATGGTGTTTTGAGTTGAAGTGATATTTCAGGCTCAAACTACTCCTGTGCTAAGGCAGTTCAGTGTTGCAGTGCTTACAGATAACTTCTTCCCAGCCTGCCGTCGGGAAAAGTTTAAAAATAATAATGCCCATGTAAAAGTCTGGCACCTTTCTCCATGTTTCTGTCCTCGCCTCTCAGTTTCTGATGGGATTCATGGGAGCGCTGCACGGCAGCAGCCCGACAAAACAAAGGTTCTCATTGGTTGAGACGCGAGATGATGACCATCTATAGCCAGTAGTGATCAACATCCCGCCCCCCTGGACCAATGGGTGTGTCTGTGTGTGTCTGTGTGTTCACAGCCACTGAGCAACCAACTTAAAAATTAAGAATAAACAGAGTTAACGCCTTACCAAAAAAATTGTCTGTGTTAATCATTGGCTGCGTTAACACGATAATACTTTAATGTTTAATGCATGTTGTTTATCTCGGGATTTAGTTGGTTATAATTATTTTAGCAAAACACATATGTAGCTGTTTTTGTCCGACCTTAAAAATAATGTTACTACTACACAAATCTTTAGTCAAATATTTAACATCGAATAAGTCACAGACATTTGTTAATTTTATTTTGCACGTTCAGTAGGCCGTGGCAGCTCTTCAGCTGGGCCGGCTCTAATAAAAGTGCATCCAACTTTTTCTGCTTTCATTCATTCAAGCTCGTTTCATTTATCGTCTTTATAATCTCTGTTTGAGCGATTTCAAGCAGCCAAACATCAACATTTCAAAGGTATTTGGAGGAACAGAAGCTCCCGACACATTATTTCTGCCTGAAATTGTAAAAAAAAACAAAAACATTTTCTTTATTTTTATGCACCAAAATCTGAACTCGGGGTTTGTTTGAATCATTAAACTTTAAACGTTTCCACTTCTCCTCGGTTTGTCATGAGGCCCGTTCTTAGAAGACGTTCTGTTTTAAGAGTCAAAGAGCCATGCCTGAGCTGTCAAACCCACTAATCCTCGGGTTTTTCTTTGTCTTTCTCAGAGTACATCGAGAGCATCGGAGATGGAAAGAGCGAAGAGTTCAAAGAGGCTGAGCGGAAGAGGATCATGGATCTCGTTGACAACTTCTAATCTCATTTTTTTTATTACTTCTTTCCCTCATGCTCACAAAAAATCGCCTTCAAACAAAAAAACTTTTCAAATGTAAGCCCGTTAAGACCCGGCACAAATACATTTGGACTTGTTGCATAAATACGCTGACTTGTAGTGACTTGCAAAAGTATTCATCCTCCTTGTAGTCTTTATATTTTGTTGCCTAACAACCTGGAATTTAAACAGATTAAAAGCGATAACTTTTCAAAAAAATACTCCAGATTTATGAAATGACACGAGAAAAACTGTTTGAAATATTTCAATAAACTATAAAATTGAAACATGGTGTGTGCAAATGTATTCAGCCGCTCTGCTTAACTTAAGCAGCCACGTGACTGTTTAAATAAGATTCATCTGTGAACAACCTAAGTGTCAGAGGATGCTCACGTGTTGTAACAACAGAATCAACACCACTTCCACTTTAAGTAAGATCTACCACCGAACACGAGACAACATGAAGAACAGGAACTCTGAACACTCAGCGGTAAATTTGTGAAGTACAAGTCAAGATTGGTTTAAAATAAAATGCTTCATCAAATTCATTATTTGAACATGGGTAGGTGATGCCACCACAGCAAACCTGCTAAGATAGGGTCATCTACCAAAACTCAGAGGAGCGTAAGGAGGGTGTTATTCAGAGAAACGTCCACGAGGTCAAATATAACCCTGATGAAGAAGAAAGAAGATGCTGTGGTCAGATGAGACCAAATTCAAACATTTATCATTAAGAAGAAAAGACGAATCTACCACCTCAGTGAAGAATGGTGGTGGCAGCATCATGGTGCGGGGATGTTTTTCATCAACGGGGACAGCGTGCTCAGAATTTAAGAAAAGCTGATTGGGCTAAATTATAAAAATTATTTAGGAGCAGTTTGATCATGAAAGGATAAAACCTCCAGTGGTCAGATGGACCCAGATCACGGAGACGGACCTGAAGAGATCTGATGCTGGAACTGCTGGAGCTAAATGTGGCACAGGACTGAAGTTTTGGCGGCTGATTTTATTTGCACACACCACTTTTCATATTTTGAGTATTTCAAGCAGGTTTTGTTCAACATTTACCTTCGTTCATTTGAATTATTGATTTTAATCAAACAAAATCCAATTAAGTTGGATATTAGGATGAAAACTTTTACAGCCCGCTGTATATATTGAATCAGATTTTTTTTTTTTTACTTTAATTATAAAGAGTTGAGAACAAAAAAACGGATAAATGGATCATTTGAAGCTTTAATTAGGATGTTTTGGTCACATGGGTAAGAGTTTGTGGTCGAGACTTTGAGGAGTGGGCTGTAGCTGCCAGAACACTAGATCAACATGAAAAGTATGACAGGGTGAGGTTCTGAGTCCTGCAGTGATCTGAAAACGATCCTCCCTTTTCCCTCCCATGTACCCCACTTTATTGGTGGCTTTTTTTTTTTGCTGTAAATTATTTTCTAATAAAACATTTAATACTAGGCTCCTGCTCTAGTTTCATTAACGTCACGGTTCGCAGAGGGAGACATGCGCAGCATCCTGATGGAGCTCGTTACACTCGTACACTCAATTGCCGCTGCACAGACGAAGACGGCGGCTCGTATTAACAGTCTTCCTCGCAGCGTGAGGATCCTCGCTGAAAGGCAGCGCAGCTCGTCTGAAGCCACCCACGGACGGATCCCAGCAGCCTCCCCGAGCTCTCAGCCCTCTGCTGTTCCTCTTTGTGATGCGGCTCACACCAGTGTGGAGGTGTGTTCCAGTACGTGTACACGAGCAAATCCACTGTTATTCTCCCCCATCTTCAGCACCAGACTCATTGTGTCTGCTGGCTTAAGCTCAGCAGCTCCAGAAAAAAAAAACACCTTCCAATTACTTTTGCATTTTAAATCAGTGCAAGCCTAACGATGCTGATGTTTTGCATGAACGTGACCCACTTAAACATCCTTTACCGTCTATTTTTATAAACCTTGACATGGTTTTGACGGCGCAGCAGTGTCAGATAAATTGCAGAGAACAATTTGCTAAAAATATATATTGCATGATTTGTTTTTATCTGACTACAACCAGCTTCATCATGGTAAGACTCTTCCCCTGCTGTCACAAATAAGCAGCCTTTGGTGCAGCACTCAATCTGATACTTGACTTTCTAACCTCGCACTGCGGGGAAAAGGCTCATTACTAAAATTGGAAAGCATCATCTAGAAGCTGCTGCTGTTTTTCTTGGCAACGCTGCGTCTCATGATAGTTGTTTTTAAGGTATTCGAAAGCACCGTGCAGTATTTGACTTTTACAGATTTACATTATGTGTCTGTGGGCAACTGATTTGGTTTTGTACTTTTTTACGAACAGGTTTTAATGATAAAATGAACAGTTCAGAAGTTTAAACACACAAGAAGGTGTGGATTATCGCTATTCATAGACCAGTTCGTCTCCATTTAAATGATTTAACTGTTCAGAAATGCATTTGACGTTTAAAACACAAACTGGTTTAAAAACTGACGTAAATAGACTCACTCTGGTGCATAAAACATTTTGTCAGAGCAGCTTTGTGGCATGCTGGCAATAATTAGAGATCCAATGAGCTTTGAAAATACATTCCCTTATTTTTTTGTTTTGATGGAGGTGAAGAACACCGGAAGGAGCTGGTGACGGAGAAGCCAGGAGTAGAATTGTGTGAATGCTACGTCAGCAATCACATTTTCCTTTTCGTATTTTTTTTTGTTGTTGTTAATTTTGTGATCAAAATACTTCGACAAACCTCCTAAATTAGCTTTTTATATATCAAAACATTCATCTAGTGTGCTAACACATTTAATATTGGCAACTTATGCTTTTCAAAATATGTAACTACCGGTATTTGCAGACATTCAATGAAAAAGTGTCTGTACAGCACTTTGGTTGGCTTTGTAGCTGTTTTAAGTGCTTTATAAATAAAGTGGTATGGTATGGTAAAAACACTCAAATTTGTAGTTCTTTTAAAAAAAGATTGTCCTCTGAAACCTGTTTCCACAGACTTGCTATATTTCTGTCCCCTTTTAGCTACTGTCTTGCTCATTTTAGCTTGTACCTGTGGTTCTGCTAATTGTAGTTTTTTAGCTATGGTTTTGCTCATTTCAGCTGTTGACAACAATTCTGATACATTTGACCTTTAGCTGATTTTTGCTTCTGTTTGCATGTTTTCTATTTGACACTCCGTTTAAAATTTCATTCTTCATCAAATGTTAGTGATTTGATTCAAAACTCTGAATGTATGCTTCTCCATCCATCCATTGACCCACTTCTTCCTGGTTGGTCACAGGGTCACTGGTGTCCATATCCAGCTATCACTGTGCAAGAGGCGGGGGACACCCTGGACAGGCCTCCAGTCCATCACAAGGACACATAGAGACAATATGTGGGAGGAAACCAGAGTACCTGGAGAAAACCCACACATGCAGAGAGAGAACATGCAAACTCCACCCAGAAAGATCCCGGGCCAGGATTTGAACCGACAGCCTTCTCGCTGAGTGGCAACAGCTCTACAAACTGTGTCACCGTGCCGTCATTTATGCTTCTCATTTTTGTTATTTATGAATCACTGAATGACCCCAGATTGTTTTTGGTTAAAGATACTGACATTTCTTCTTTAGTACAGAATAACAGGGATGGATCAGAGGAATTTGGTACAAATCCTTCTCTTTGGAGGGGAAAAAATAAACTGAAAACTTTCCAG